TGTCATAAGATTACTAATATACCGTAAAGTCTCTTTGCTATGCTGACAATATTTAACATTTTCCCGTGAAACCTTGTATTCGCATCTTTTACTTAGATATTCTTCACTAAAGATATAATCTGGTATTACTTAGTTTTATTATCAGTACATAAGTGCTGTTAATCTTAATGAACTTGGAGTAGTGTGGTAGAAACGGTGTTTCCTTTTGGCCAACTTGTGATCTCAAATTTTGGGCCACTAAAAATAGCGATGCTCTGCCGAGTCTCAGAATGATATGAAACAAATTTATGAAATATTTCTTACACAATCGTAGGTAGTCACACCGTAATTTTATTTAAAGCGCTAAGGCAAACAGTATAACATAAACAAGTACGCAGTGTTTTTGCAAGTGCTTATAACCCCGAATTAAGCAATCTTGTTTTACTAAGCCTTGTGTATTCTGTGTGTAGTCTACTTATGCCAGACTTTATTATTGCTCAGGCTTCACTCTAAATAGAACTGGCTTCTATATAGACAAAGCAGTATAAAAACTATTTTTATCACTGAAATAGATTTTGTGCTTTCAGATGGAATAGCCATATTAGCTCAGACTCAAGTTTTAGGGAATGATAGATGGTGAAGTATGTCCCATTCACAAATTTCATGTTTTTCCTATGGGGCGGGAAAAAGGAAGAGGCAGGGCACATTTGGTTTCACTTCTCCTACATATGACATGGCTACATAGATCCCGATCAATCCGAGCATAATTGTCCCGATAAAGAAAAGTTATAATTTATGACCCAGACCAACATTTTTCAATGTCAAACTTAAAAGTGAATACACTTGACTCATTAAGGCTTGGTTATCACAGGTTCACCCACACTTGCCACATACATCAACAGTTCCGATCGCCCATCAATTAGCAAAGAAATTCATAAAAATTATTATTCTTAACAATAGTGCAATCCAAAACGTGTATAACCTGAAATTCAAGACATACGAAATAGTTAAATTCTATAAATGAAGTGGGTTTACCTCATTTTCGCAACTTGATCTTGTTGTCAGGGCGACTTAGTGGGACACATCTTGCCCGGAGTTCTCTGGCATGATAGTTATCATAATTCCCAGTCTCACACAGTGGAATTGATACATTCTCATGTTGGTATTATGATAACTACTATGGCTGAGGACTTCGGTCAAGGTGCGCTCTACTAAGTCTCTCTGACAGCAAGACCAAGTTACGAAAACGAGGTTAACCCACTTCTACAGATAGATAGAAGACTGCGACCATACCAGGAGCCATACCATCTTGGTCTTCATATGTTCTATAAATGAAGCATTTTTGCATCAATTATGATAAGTAGATCAAGTTAGCAATGGATAAAAGCAGTCAAATCCATAGCTCTTGGTGAAATGAAACTGAGGTTTACTCCCGATTAGAAGGCTTAAGTACGTTAATCGAACAGTAGTTATTAAGTAATATATGGTGGTTTAAATGGTACTGAACACTTACAAGGAAATGCAGAGATTGCTCCTGTCCTACATATTATCTTTCAAGTAACTAAATTTCATCTTCATTTCTTGGTTACAATCCATTTAAGCAGTCTGAAAATACATATTACAAATTTGTGGTAGTTAAAGAAACCTTTCAATTAAATCATACACACATTGTGAAGATTACAGGACTCATTATTTTGCGTTAAAAATACTTCACTTCTAGTTTGTATGCATTTAGAGTAAAGATTCCACATGATTTTTATTTACTTTTAATTTTAAATTTTGTAGTTTGAGTCAAATAAATAGACTTCTACAAACCAACTATAGATTGCATGTCAAAACTAAGCTATAGATAGGCAGAAAATAAGATTCCAAATGGATTATTATAAGGATTTTGCATTCTCCTCCAATTGAAATTTGTAGGCCTGATTATACAATCTGCCTTAAGCATAACCTTCTGCTTGGTCTATGCAATTCTATCGATCGGAACTCTTGACAGACATGGTCTATTTGGCCGTCGGACATTTTCCGATCGATGAGACCTTTTATTACAAATTGAAGCAAGTAGGACATCCTGAAAGAAAGGAAATATTTCTATTTAGTGCCGTCGTCGCTTTCAACACAGTCACTTCTTTCCCAACTACCCTTTACGGCCTTCTCCACATATCGCGAATGAGTAGTGTAGCCTTTGCTAAGGCAAAAACTCTGACTGTCGCCTTCTCAGGCCTTTTTGCACTCACAACTTCAATTATGTTTTTATAATTAGCGACAACTTAGTAACGATTTGGTTTGTGCTACCGATAGTAAATTACCATAT